CTAATGGTGCCTAATTTCCTAGGGACAGTGCCTGAGGTTCTTCCCTTTGTCCAGATGAAGAATTCCTCTTCTAAATGTTCCAGACATGGAGGAAAGAGTCCTAGGCAGCCCTCCATTAGCTTCACAGATGACATCTACTGGGGAGAGGGAGAGCTGAAAGCTTTCATTTCCAACCCCGACTCTGATAGAGTTTGGCATAAACCTGGGGGGACTATGGCTGCCACGTCAGACTTCTTATGGCTACATTAGGATCTGTCCTTGACCCTGAGGTCTAACTATGTTTGCCTCACTCTTTTAAATTGTTATGGAGGGGTCGGGGATTTAGCTCAATGGTGCTGCCACCTGCCTTGCAAGCGCAAGGACTCGAGTTCAATCCCTGGTACTCCCCGCAAAATTGTTATGGGTCTGGGGATGTAGCGTCTAGTGGTAGAAGCACATGCCTAGCTTGCATGAGGCCTGGGATTTGATCCTCAGTATCATAAACAAATCAACACACAAACAAATAATGCTGTAATTCTGAATTGATAAGAATCTAAATGCTATTTGTTACTCAAACCCAAATGGGTTGTGTAGGTCAAATAGGTCAATCTTGTTTACATATTTATAAATAAGTAAGCCTGAACCCAATACGCATTTGTATGTAAATGTTAGGCAAAACTGAATCCACCCAAGGTAAGTGTGAGGGGTTAGTGGTAGTACATGCCAGACTAGTGCCTTTGAATTGTAACTATGTATACATAGCCCGCAGGCTTAATTTTAGCTAGATGAACTACCAAAAATGTGAGCAATCTGTCTTCAGATTTCTGCTCTTTCCGCTAAGGACAAATTCTAGAAGTGTAGAATCCTTGTTTTTATGTTCCTTTAAACAGAATTGTGACTGTTTTTTGCGGGTTTTTTTGGTAACGGGGATCAAACTCAGAACCTTGCACTTTCGAGGCAGGCGCTGGAACCACTGAGCTAAATCCCCAGCCAGAATTGTGACTGTTTTATCAGGGAATATTCATTTTGACATCAATTTGTAAGCTTTTGCAGCAATAGCAACAATTATTTTCTACTTGAATGTTTTGCTTTGAAATATTAATTTGCTTATGTTGCTATAGGTGTACAGCAAATATATATGTGCATGTGTTTGTGTGGGAATAGAGACAGGCGAGGCTTCAGCTAGATGTTTCCATCATATTTCTTATCATTGTATTGAGACTGTTACTAAAAAATAATCTTTTGAAATTCTGTACCTGAAAAAACAATAAAACCTTCACTCAAATATTTGAAATCAAATGAAAAAAAGTCTTATGAACATATTAATGAATATCCTTTTGTTAAATATTGTAATTTATGCTTTATTTCAGGACTCTTCTATTTTAAAAATAACCAGGACAATTTTAACAATTGTGTTTCTCTCACACAGTGATGATGATTGAGTAATAATTCTCCATTTCACATTCAGTACTATGGCTAGGAAGTGCAGTGATGGGTACAGTTGCTACTCCATTTACCATCAGACCATATGGTACAATTTACATCTGCCAAGAACAGCCATTGCACATAACAGAAAACAATAGGGGCTTTTTACTTTATTTTTTGTGGTGCTGAGGATGGGTCCCAGGGCCTCGTCTGTGCGGGGCAAGCACTTTGTTTCTGTGCACTACCCTCAACCTTAGGTACAGTCTTGGTTCTTTTTTTTTTTTTTTCTTGTACCGGAGATCGAACTCAGGACCTTGCACTTGCAAGGCAGGCGGCGGAAACACTGAGCTAAATCCCCGGCCCCAAACAGTCTTAAGATTGATCAACAGACAACAGTTAAACAACTCTGCTTTCTTTTAATTTATTTACTCAGCTGTTACTGTGTAGCACATACATTTGCCACATAGGTAAGACTCTCTCTTTGACACTAAAAATTCAAAGATATGTGCAAGTGGTCTCAGAGCAGGGCATACTCTGGAGGGGAGGTGGTCCTGGAAGCAAATGATTATCACATAATGTCACACGAAGTGTGACAGAAGCATATGCCAGTTGTCACAGAAGTACAGAAGGAGAAACATGCGTAACAGCTGGAGCCTAGTGATCACAGAGAAGACCATCTTTGAGTTAATTACTGAGCTCTGGGTAGGAAATACATTGCGGTGGTTAAGAAAATAGACTGTAGTTACATTGTATGTGTTTAAATCCAGCACCACTGCTAACTTGCTGTGCAGCCTTTGGCATGTTATTTAATCTCTCTGTGCTTCATTTTCATCTTCTGTGAAATGGACATAATAACCAGGCACAGCTCTAGGGGTCAAGTGAGGATTCCATGAGGTCATAGGCTTAGAGGCAGCACATGACCCATGGACAGCCCTTATGTAGTGTCAGCTACTGTGCCAGGAACAGCAGAATGAGAGGAAGCAAGGGGAAAGAGGGACACAGCAGGTTTGGCTTATTAAGACTGACACATGAGCTGAGTTTGTGTGGAGGGTGGTGGGGAAGGGCAAGGGAGTGGACAGATTAGGAGAGAGAAAATTCTGTGCCCAAAAGGCTCAGATTAAAGCAGTCCTCGAATTTTAAGGAAGAAATTCAGATTTACATTATAGAGTGGATTTGTGTGTGTGTGTGTGTGTGTGTGTTGGTACCGGGGATCGAACTCGGGTCCTTGCGCTTGCACAGCAGGCGGCGGAACCACTGAGCTAAATCCCTGGCCCAGATTTATATTATAGAAAGACAACCCTGGTACAGTGGAAAAAGAGCAGAGCGTGGGAGATTAGTTAAGAGGAAGAGTAGTTAAGTCAGGAGAGATGATAAAGGCTTGGTCAAGGGAGGGAAGGTAGAGCAGAGATTTGAAAGTTACTTAGGAGATAAAAATTGATGAGAGATGGTAATAGCTTAGATTGGGGGGGCAAAAAGGTAGAGTTGTGGATGATGATCCTCAGGTCTTTAGTTTGGATGATTTGGTGAGAAGACAGAAGGAAAAGTAGGTTTGGGGATAAGCTTGAAGGGCCAGTGGGATGACCAGAATTAGGGCGTAGGGCTGCCACTCAGGAGCCAAAAGTCAAGATTTTGGATTCCCTGGGATACAGGGTGGCATTGTGGGAGTGTGCGAGCATGACAGTGGTTGTATTCTGGACGAGAAGCAGGGGTGGGTCTGTAAAGTCCAGCACTGAAGAGTCAAAGACAATGAAGCCAGCACAGGAGAGAGGCCACAGAAGGAGGAGATGTAGAAGAAAATGGAGTTGTGGGAAATGCAGAAATCCAAGAAGGAAGCGTTCAAATGCAGGAATGAGGTCAAGAACTGTCCCTTAACAATTAGAAAAGAGTGTGAAGGAAATCCAGGAACTATTGCTTCCATGAAGTAAAACACACTGGGGGCAAGAGATACAGTGAATCCTCTTCATGAAGACTAGGTGTTAGTTGATATTTTAGGTCAGTTGCTAGGTGAATTCCTGGAGAGCATCCACAGATGTGGTCCAGTATCAGTCTCTGTGTACAAGACAGATCTGGCCTGCCTTGCAGGGCTGTTTTTCCAGAGCCCAGCAAAAAGTCTTGGCACACTGGTACCATACACTATCTGTTGGTGGAAAGAATGAATGAGTGAATAGTCTGCAGCCACCAAAGATCCACCTTGATAGAGTCATGGGAGTTCTCAACGCATGGCTGTTTCCAGGAAGTGTTAGGCCCTCAGGAGCTACCCAAAAAAGTAGATGCTTTGATAAGATCACCAAAATTGTCAAGTAGTAGGGCTGATCTGGCAGTGTATGCCTATGCTGGGGGGAGACAGTACTGGTGATGATGGTGACAAAACAGGCCTACTCAGGCTGGTCTTGTTATCAGATATATACAAACTCTTGGTTCAGTTTCAGATATGATTTTCTTAGTACATTTGTTATATTACTTGTTTTCTTCCTTCCTCGGTGTGTGAAGATACCCTGGATGGGCTAGAGGGGTTCCTGAGGATTGAGTCCAGGGCCTTAAGCATGCTAGGCAAGAGTTCTATCACTGAGTTACATCTCCATTCCTTTTTATTTTGAGATAGGCGCTCTCTCTCTCTCTCTCTCTCTCTCTCTCTCTCTCTCTCTCTCTCTCTGTTGCTCAAGCTGGTCTGGAATTGGTGATTTCCTGCCTCAGCCTCCTGAGCGGCTGAGCTCTGGCTAGCTTGAATAGCAAATTTTCAAGGTCAGGGACCCCTTCAAATGAGTCTTTTGAACTCCTTGCAGCACATATTTGTCCACTTGACCCCTGGCTAAGAATCCTGGTACTCCTCAGTCAACTTACAATGCAAGGTAGTCATGTTTGGACTGTCAACCCAGGTATGACATCAACCCTCAAGGAAAAAAATGTCCTATTGTTACCTTCCAAACTTCTCCTGGAGGGTGAACTTTCAGAGGAGCCTTTAGGGCAAGCAGTAGGCAGCCAATGATACTAGACCTCAGACTTTCACGTCTGGGGCCTCTAATGCCCAATCCTCCTCCTTGGCAACTTTGGGGTATCCCACGAGTCTCCCCGGGACACTGAGGTCTGGGAAGAGCCTGTACTTCGTAAAAGGCATTAGGGCACCCACAGGGCTAGACTAAGGTCCCTCTGGCATCCTCATGTGGAAGAGGTGCGGTCCAGATGCTGGAAGTGAGTGGGGTAGGGGTAGGGGGCACGGAGGCGGAGGTGACTTTACTATTTCCTTCTTCCTTTTTATTTTTTTTTGCCGGGGAGAGGTGGTTTGGGACGCCCCTTTCAGCCGCTCCCTGCAGCTCAAATTGTCGGCTCGGCGGGCCTGCTCTCGCGCCGTGTGGACGCGGCTGCCCGTCGGAGCGCGCAGAGGCGGAGGAGGGATGTCCTTCGGCGCCCCCACCCCGCGCCCTACACCGGCAGGGCGGCGCGCGGGACGCGACGCCCCCTGCCCTTCCCCCCGGCCCGCCTGAGCCCCCCGCCCCCGCCCCCGCCCGGGGACTCCCGCGCCCGGGGAAGCCCCGCGCCCGCCGCCGCCGCCGCCCGTCCCCGTCCCTCCGCCTCCCGAGGCCCGGGGCAGCCTCCTCGGGCCGCGCCGGGACCGCCTGCACTGCGCATGAGCGGGAGCCCGGCGAGCCCGTGAGAGGAGCCGCCGCCGCCGCCGCCGTCCATTCGCTGCGGAGCCGGAGGAGGAGGGGAGAGGCCTGGAGGACACCAACATGGTGAGGCACTGCGGCCACCCGCCGCCCGCCCGCTCACACCGCCGCCCGGGGCCAGCGTCGCCGCGCACCCTGCCGCCCGCCCTTCGCCCCGCGGCGACCCTGCCGCCCCGAGCGCGGCCCGCGGCCTCTGGCCCGCCTTTTCCTTCCTCCTTCACCCTTTCCCGCCCGGCCGCCGCCGCTACGCGAGAGCCGAGGAGGCGGAGCGGAGCCGGGCCTAGTCGGCAGCCCGGGAGTGGGGAGCGGGAGCGGCTCCGAGGCCTCCGGTCCGGCCGGCGCCGAGACGGGAGACGGGAGGCGTTGGGGCAGGGAAGGGGAGGGGACCACGGCCCCAGCCCGCGGGGCCTTCGCCGGACCCATTGTGTCTGGCTGGGGACCGGGGTCCCGGGTCCAGGGTTCCGGGTGAGGATCCTCCCTCCGCCCCGCCTGGGAGAGGGAAGATTTCGCCGGCGCTCCTTTCCCTTCTCAGTTGCCGGCTCCAGCACCCCGCAAGTCTCCCGGGCAGTTTTGCTTGGGGCGCGGTATCTGCCCCTTCCCTTGCTCCATCATCTCCCGATGCGTCCCGTGCTTTGGGAGATGAGAGTTTCACTGGCCAGTTGGTGGAGTTTATATTTACCTCTCTGCTGAAGACGGGGGAGACCGCTGAGTTGGGGGAGGGGGGTACGGAAGTGCAACCTGTTCTCATTTCATAAAATTAGGGAAAACAGACTTGCTGCCTTTGGAGCACTTATTTTATTTGCTTGGGTGGGAGGAGTAATTGCTTTATTATAGCAGTTAGGGATCATTTGCACTTTAAAAAAAACAGTTTGTCAAGTTACACCTCCTTGATTTAGAGGAGGAAAAAAGTCTTCCAAGCTTGAAGACCCTTATAGCCAAGTTGTTTCTTTGGTAATTACATACTTGACTCTGTTGGGCACTCTTTGTCTTTCAGAAGAGATGTTTGGCTGAGCTTGAGTGGAATTCCATGCAGGTTACAGTATGAATAGTAAAAATGATGTCCTTTTGCTCATTGGCAACAGAGAAGCCTCTTTAAGGGTGTGTGTGTGCGTGTGTGTGCCTGTGTTAAAGGAATGCCTCAGTGTCTTGGTTTCAGTGGATTATTTTTGCTGACTGACACTTATTAGCTCCAACCTGGCAGTATTTTGGTGTCATACTGTGGGTATGTGGTCTACTTTGCCATACATGCAAAATTTTTGTTCTGTGGTAAGTTCCATGAAATTTTACATTTTGTATTTGTGAGAATACTCTCCAGTAAAGTACAGGTTAATGTTTGGGTTGATAATACCATGAAAATTCAAAGATCCATCAAGGAATCACAACAGTTTCTAATGTCTTATGTATTTAGACAGTTATAACAGTTTCCAAACTCTTGGCATCTAGATAAGTATTATCAAGCATGAAGTAATGAAATGAGTTCCCTGGTAAACACTCAGTGAGAACGCTGAAATGTGTGCTGTTCAGGATAGTGTCCAGATCAGCTGCATTCCCTAGAATGCAGGGGCCTGATGATCAGCGGTTGTTCAGGAATTCATGATGGGAGTTGAGATAGGGTTGGAGATGGTAAGCTTCTGTCCTTTTAGTTAATATTAAATCAGCTAGTTTTGGAATTTAGCCATAAGTCATGTAATTATACTAGAGGTGACAAGATATTTTTTGAAAAATTTAAAAAGAATATCTGTTTGAATTATAAAGCCAAATTTTGCTCCCTAGGATATCGCTAATTTTAAACACTTTCTGTGGCTGAACTCACTTCATGTCAATAGGATTGTCTTGGTGAGCTCGTTTGTTTAGAAACTCAACTGGAGAATTTTGTACATAGTTATTTCATTACAAACTTAAAATTGTTTTTTCTTACAGCTTTTGGGCTAATGTTACTTTTTTTTGGTACTGGGGATCGAACTCAGGTCCTTAGCTTTCGAGGCAGGCGGTGGAACCACTGAGCTAAATTCCCGGCCCATAATGTTACTTTTTTGTTGTGAGTAGAGGGGCGCATTTCTACAGTGTGTGTTATTGTTAATTCTAGGACAGTCTTAAATCATGGGCTGAATGTTTTCTATAAGGAAAAAACAGATTTACTGCCTTTGGAGCAGTTAACACTTTCATATACAGACCAGAAATAACCCTACAAGACCATACTATGTTACTTTTGAAAATCCTTTAAAAAGTGTTCAAAACTTGTGGATTGTTTTTTTTATTTTTTTGGTACCAGGGGTTGAACTGGGGACCTTGCGCTTGCGCAGCAGGCGCCGGAACCACTGAGCTAAATCCCCAGCCTGTGGATTGTTTTTTTTACATGTAAGATGACAGAATTGGATTTGATGAAAGTTCTACCCAGATTAACAGTTTCATGGTAGTAATGATTTTTATTAAATGGGTGAAATGTGTGTAGATTTTATCATCTACTAGGTTTTTATAAACTCAGCAACAGAATTTTTAGACCTGAAATGCCCTCAAAGATTACCTAATTTACTTTTCCCCCCTTTTACAGAAGAAATTGATGATCAGGGAGGTTTTGAAGTTCAAGTTTGTAAGTTCTTGAGTAACAGAATTCAAATTACTACGTTTTTAATTGCTTTGTTTGTTTTTTTGGTACTCGGAATTGAACTCAGGACCTTGTGCTTGCCAGGCAGGAGCACTGAGCTAAATCCCCAGCCTACTTTTTAAAAATGTATGAATTTTGAAATTTAAGATTATATTTTCTACAAAATTAGAATTTACAAATCCAAATGTGTTCACCTGCTCCAGGTTGTTTCTTCAGTACTTGTCGCACATTCTTTTGCATAGCCACAAGTGAAAGAGGGCCTTAGTTCATTTCAACAATTATTTACTAAATTTCTGCTATATGCCAGCATTTTAGGCATTGAGAATATGTATGTATCACTGAACTGACAAATCCCTGCTCTGATGAGGGTTACATTTTAATTGGGAAAGACAAACAGTGAACATAGTCTATAATTTTGTTCCTTACTGTGTTATAAGTTTTTCAGTGCTCTGCGTGGTGGTGGTGTGGACAATGTTGGGAAGGAGGTTGGGCCTGCTGGGGTAGTGTGGAAGTGGGGTTGCAAAATGCTCAGTGTGGCATCAGTGAAATCAATTTTGAACAGACTAGGAGATGAGAGAATAAGCCATGCAGAAATATGGCAGGGTCCCTGGTGTGGTGGCGCATGCCTGTAATCCCAGTGCTGGGAGACTGATGCAGGAGAATGAATTTGAGCCCATTGTAGGAAATTTAATGACTTAGCAAGACTGCCTCAAAAATAAAAAAGGGTGGGGAATGTAGCTCAGTGCAGAGGCTCTGGGTTCAACTCTTGGTAGTGCAGGGGTGGGGGGATGGTGGGAAGAGAGTTTGAGGAACAGTGAGACCAGTGTGGCTGGAGTTGTATGTGAGCACTGGAGCAACTGAGGTACTGTATCAGAGGTAGAAGTGATAGGCCTGAGCGATCATTGTAAGGTTACTAGGGTTGTGCTCTTGAGAGAGCTGGAAAAGGCACTGAAGGATTCTGAGTGGTATGATAGTCCTTGTTTCTTATGTCACATGTTATCCTATTATAATATAGATAATTATTTTTATTTTAAAATAAATTTTATTTTCTCCCATTCCCCCTTAAGCCCCCTCACCTCCCTGTGTACAAAAGCTTTGTTTCCATTTTTCCCTTCTGTTGTCACTTTTTTTTGTCCCTTCCTTTCTCCCTCCCTCCTGCTTTGTTCCCATTTCCATTTGAACACTTTCTTCCCATTTCCCAACAGCCATTATACATCTCAGTCCTTATTTCCACTTTTGGTTTCTCACACCAGAGAAGCAATGTGATGTTTAAACATGTGTGTCTGATTTATTTCACTTAAGCATATGGCCTCAAGGTGCATCCATTTAGCTAGAAATGTCTGAAGCTCACTCTTCTTTATGGCAGAGTAGTACTCCATTGTATAAGAAAAACCCCACATCTTCTTTATCTGTAGGTAATTTTTTTTTTTTGGTACCAGGGATTGAACTCAGGGCCTTGTGCTTGTGAGGCAGGTGGTGGAACCACTGAGCTAAATCCCTCGCCCAATTTTTTAAAATTTTTTTTATTGTTGCTAGGGATGGAACTCAGGACCTTGTCCTTGCAAGGCAGGTGCAGTGCCACTGAGCTAAATCCCTGGCCATAATTATTTTCAAAGATAAGATGCCTATTAAAGTTTTCTTTATCCATGCAACTTGTATATAGAGTTTTGAATTTTTTTTTTTATAATAGAGTTTTGAATTTTAAGATGACGGCCTAGTGTTCAATAAAAACTTGCTGGCCATCACCTAGCTGCACTAGGGTTAATAGATACAGCACAACAAGACCTCTTTCATAGATCACTGACTGTTGAATATAATTTAGTGGTATGTATGTAGTTTAATGACTATATGCAGGAGACTTAGGCCTTTGGGGAGAAAGAAAATTAATATTTATTGAGAACATAACGTGTGTTAATCAGTTTACAACTATTTCATCTCCACTCCCACCTGTGAAATAGGAATTAGTGCTGCATTCTTTTAGCATATCTGGAAATGTTGGCTTAGCATTCTAAATAATTTGACCAAAGTAAAGCGCTGGTATGTGACAACCAGGAGTGGAAACATGGTCTCTGGCTATATTAATCTCTCCATCAGACCTATCTCCCTCTTTTTCTTTTTTCTTAAAACCCAAGAACCCATTTATTTTTTATTATTTATTTATGGATTTTTGAGACAGGGTCCCGTTGTGTAGTTCAGGCTGGCCTGTAACTATTTTAATAGTCAACCCATGTCAGTATAGATTTGTAATTTCTGATTAATTCCATTCTGGTTTTCTCCTTAGCATGTTGAATAGCAACTTGGTTGCTTCCTGTCAAATGATTGGTGTATACATTAAGTATGTAATTGAGTTAAAATTCTTTTGGTGTATAATCAGCAGAGCTCATTTGAGTCAAATGGCTATTTTGATTATAGTCTCATCGGTTGGTTCAGATGGGAAAATATGGGAGAAAACCCCCTTTTA